CAGCAGGAAGGGGCTGTCCCTTGCATCGGCTGAGGTGCCTTCGAGCTGGAATGTGCGCTCTGCTGCTGGTGGCACGGCATGTGCTGCTGAGGACAATGCTGGCGATGACAGCTGCTGGGGCACAAGGACATGGACCGTGCTGGAGGTCGTGAGTACTGTTGGGGCCCTCTCCCTGCTGCGGACTCAGTAATTCTGGATGATTAGTGTGGTGCGGCCGGTGTACCATGGACCTCAGAGACAAGTCGTCTGGGCCCTAGCCGGCATCCATACACTCGCTAAGAAAACACTGCTCTGCCACGCACATCAATCTCCCCCGGCCAACAGCCCAGCCGTTCGCACATGGACCATTCGCCAGCTGAGACCTCTGCGTACAGCGGCCGTGTCTCCACATCCACAGGAAGATATCTACTCCAATGGTTTACCCTCAGTGTTGATTAATTCCGGGTCACGTTCCAATCGAGCGTAGCCCAGCAAACCTGACACTGAAAGACATAATTACAATATACTCAAAACACATCCTAATAAAATTTCCACAACACGATGAGTCGGTGGCCTCCCTTATGGTTCAGGAGCATGAATTGGTCTCTGCTCTGATTCGTTCGGTGAGGGAGATGCTCAAGATTGAGGACGCTCGGGAGTTCTTTAGTGCTGTTGCCTGTTCAGTTTGGGGAGCATGAGAGTAGGGGTTCCACTAAGGTCTTTCCCTCTGTCTCCTTCTTTGATGATTTCATTTACAAGGAGTGGAAGAGAGCGACTCGGTACCTAAGCGTTTTTCTGTTCGCTATCGTTTTGAGGAGGCCTTTTTGGCTAAATGGACATCTTCGGCAGTAGATCCCCTGGTCTCACGCATGAACAAGGCTACTGTTATTCTAGTGGAAGATTATTATTATTCGGGATTTATATAGTACCAAACGGAGTGCACAGCACTTTACAATATAAGGAAGTTATTACAATCATAATACAGTTCAAGACAAGATGGTAAGGAGGGCCCTGCCCGTGAGGGCTTACAATCTAAAAGGGAGGGGCAAGTGATACATGAGTAGGTAGCTGTGTTGGGATGAATTGTTTGAGTAAGTGATAGTTCAGTGGCTAGGTTGAGGTGGGATAGGCTTCCCTGAAGAGATGAGTCTTAAGGGATCGCCTAAAGGCAGTCAGAGTGGGAGATAGACAGACATGTTGGGGTAGAGAGTTCCATAAGATGGGAGAGACTAGTGAATTCCTGGAGGCGAGCATGGGAGGAGTTGATGAGGGAGCTGAAAAGCAGGAGGTCTTTTGAAGAGCAGAGGGGACGGCTAGGGATATACTTTGAGACCAGGTTTGAGATATAGCATGGGGCAGAGTTGTGGAGGGCTTTGTAAGTGGTTGTCAATATTTTGAATTTTGTCCTTTGGGCGAGTGGAAGCCAGTGTAGGGATTGACAGAGGGGGGTTGCAAACACTGAGCGGTTGGTTAGGTAAATAAGTCTAGCAGCTGCATTCATGATAGACTGAAGGAGGGATAGCCTGTGCAGAGGTAGGCTAATGAGGAGGGAGTTGCAATAGTCGAGACGAGATATAAGTGAATGGATGAGTAATTTTGTGGTTTCATTGGTGAGAGTATTTTGGAGATGTTACGAAGGTTAAGGCGGCAGGATTTGGATAGTGATTGGATGTGGGGAAGAAAGGTGAGGTCCGAGTCAAGGATGACACCTAGGACATTGGCATGGGGGGAGGGCTGGCTAGTTGTGTTAACAATCTCAAGGGAAAAGTTTGGGGAAGGTGCACGGGCAGGAGGAAATATCATGAGCTCAGTTTTTGAAAGGTTGAGTTTTAATAAGTGTTGTGACCTCCAGACTCGTATGTCAGTTAGTAGATTAGTGACACGTAAGGACACTGAGGGGGTGAGTTGTGGAGTAGAAAGATAGATTTGAGTGTCATCGGCATAGAGATGGTGTTGGAAGCCATGTGAGGTTATTACCTGACCAAGGGAGGAGGTGTAGATAGAGAAGAGTAGGGGTCCAAGGACAGAGCCTTGAGGGACCCCTAGAGGAAGAGGAGGGAATGAGTTAGATTTGTAGGTGACACTAAAGGAGCGCTTAGATAGGTAGGAGGAGAACCATGAGAGAGCAGAGTCTTGTAGGCCAAGCGAGTCAAGTTTTTTGAGGAGGAGCAGGTGGTTAACAGTGTCAAAAGCAGCAGAAAGGTTTAAAAGCAAGAGTAAGGAATAGTGGCCATTGTTTTTAGCTGTTAGTAAGTCGTTAGTGAGTTTTAGGAGGGTGGTTTCAGGGGAGTGTAGAGGGCGAAAACCGGCTTGTAAGGGATTGAGAAGGTTGTTATCAGCAAGGTGGCGGCTGTAGATAACGCGTTCTATGAGCTTGGAGGTGAATGGGAGTAAGGAGATTGGTCTGAGATTGTTGAGGTTGGTAGGGTCCATTGAGGGTTTTTGGGGTATTGGGGTGACCAGGGCATGCTTTACAGGGGAGGGAAAGATGCCAGTAGGGAGTGAGAGATTGAAAATCTGAGTAAGAGAGTGTAGGATAGAGTAAGAGGGTGACTCAAGTAGTGGTGAGGAAACAGGGTCCAGGGGGCAAGTGGTGAGTCAGTGAGAAGCTTTGTAACCTTCTCTGTGGTGACAGGGTCAAAAGAGGAGAGTAACAAGTGTGATGGTGGGTCTGGTACATGAGTAGGGGAATGTGACTGCACAGTGGTGATCTGATCCCGAATTATCTTTTTTGTTTTTTAAATGAATGGCAATGTCCTGGGCAGTGAGTGGGTGGTAGCGGTGGAGGACAGAGTAGAGAGTTAAAAGTAGAAAAGAGTTGACGAGGTTTGGATGAGAGTGTGTTAATGAGAGTGACAATATAAGTCTGTTTGGCAGCACAGAGGAAGGAATTATATTTTAGGAGGGCAGCTTTATACAGGGTGAATTCTTGCAGAAGCCTAGTTTTTCACCACAGTCGTTCAAGAGCTGTGGTGTTTTTAGTTGTCCGGTTTCTTTTGTTTGCCAAGGTTGTAGTGGACGCGGTCTAAGTCTGTGTGTAGTTAGGGGAGCCAAAGTGTCTATAGAGGATGAAAGTGAGCTGTTGTAGACAGAAATAGACAGGGCAGGGCAGGTGTGATATTTTGTCATAGAGGTAGTCAGTAGCAGAGAAGAGAAGGGTTGAGGTGGCGAAGGTTTCTCCGGGTGACAGTGTGCCGTGTAGGTGTATTCATGGTTGGGGATAGGGTGAGGGCGAAACTGACCAAGGTTGTAGTCTGAGAGCGGGAAAGGGGTGTTGGAGAGGTTGCAAGGAGTGCATAGGTGACAGAAAACAAGATCTAGTATGTTACCATCAGAGTAAGTAGGAGTGTCTGACCATTGTGTAAGATCAAAAGAAGAGGTTAGGTTAAGAAATTGAGTGGAAGCCGGGATGCTAATGTTATTAGCAATGTTCATGTCACCAAGAATGATAGTGGTTATTTCTGAGGAGAGAAAGTAGAGTAGCCAGGCAGAGAAGTCATCCAGAAAGCGAGATACTGGTTCAGGTGGCCGGTATATAACAGCAATCCTCAGCTAAATTGGAGAGAATAGGCGAATACATTGGGTTTCAAAAAAAGAGAGGAATAGAGAGGGAGGTGAAGGCAGAACTTGAAAAGTGCATTGTGGGGATAAAAGGATTCCCACTTCACCTCCTTTCCGTCCATTGGGTCTGGGTGACTGTGTACAAAGTAGGCCACCATGGGAGAGGGCAGTAGGGGAGGTAGAGTCGGTTTCCTGAAGCCAAGTTTCAGTAACAGCTTGCATGTTAAAGGAATTGGAGATAAGAAGATCATGGACAGCGGAGAGTTTGTTACAGACAGAGCAGGCATTCCAGAGGGCACATGAGAAGGAAGGACCGGTTATAGGAAGCAGGGGGATAGAATTCAGGGTGCGTGGATTGCAGCTGCTGCCAGAGGAAAGGCAATGCTGGTTTGGAGGGTGAGTATTAGAAAAGAGAGGGCCAGGATTGGGAGAGATATCCCCTGAAGTCAGGAGAAGCAGAAGTGTAAGAGAAGTGAGATGAGAGGGAGCTTTTATATGAGCGAACATGCCCCAGTGTCCTGGAGGTAACCCTAGCATGTGTATTCAGAATGAGCAGGAGGTGATGAGTGCACTAATAGGGAGAGGGTAGGAGAGAAGGGGGGGGTAAAGGAAATACAGTTTAAGAAGAGAAGCCACAATTGTGATAAGCAATGGTAGAGATCGCATGCTGTGCAGAGGAAGTACCAGACAATAAAGTGAATGAAGAGTAGTAGGTATGAGAGGTGCAAGAATGAAAGGAAAGAGGTTAAAGTGGGATAGTATTGAGATCTGGGAGAGTGGTCAATGAATAACAGCTGCTGGGCACCTGATTTGTACTTAAAGGAGAACTATGAGGTGAGTGCTTTTCACTCACCTCATAGTTCTAGCCGACCTGTGACAACGAGACTGCCACAGGTTGGCTTAGTAGATCGGGAGGGGAGCGAACACATACCGGCGTTCCCTCACCTCTCGATCCTGTCACGGCTCCCTGCCGTGACAGGGGAGGGGCTGGATTCCCCCCGCTCCGATCCGCCAGCGCTTACTGGCGGAACGGACAGGGGAGGGGGCGGGTACAGCTGGCTCTGCCTCTAGATAGGCAGAGCCGGTATACTGAGACGCTGCAGCAGCTCGTGGTATACTGAGCCTAGGGTAACGGGAGGACGCTAGTTTGTGTCCTCCCGTTACCCTAAGGAGAACTATGGGGAAAAGCCTTAACCCCATAGTTCTCTAAGTCAAGTGCTGATGTATCTCTATAAAGGTAAACTGAACCATGGGGTGGGAGCGATGGTCTGCAGTGAGCTTCAGATGGGTTCTTGGTTAGCTAAATAGTGTATCTGTTTGCAGAGGTGAAAAACTTAAGAAAAAAGAGTAAGACGGGGTTACTCGAAGTACAGCTAAGGGGGCAGAGAGTAATAAACTGGAACAAAAGGTATTGTTTGACATACATGAAGCAGGCATCTAAATTAGCTATCACTTAAAACAGGGGTCCTCAAACTTTTTAAACATGGGGCCAGTTCACTGTCCCTCAGACATTGCTGGGGGCTGGATCATAGTTTGAATGGGAGATGACATCACTTCATATCCCAGTTCTCTTCTTATTGGCCGCCCTACAAAAGCCTGTGCTGGCGTGCACCCAAAGTTGGAGGGGCCCAGCCGCACTGGCGTTACTCTGCTAAAGGAACCAAGGCATTTGGTTTGCCTTGGCATGCGCCCTGAGATAAAAGGGCTCAGCCGTGCAGGCCGAACACAGAAGCTGCCAAGCTTCCGGAACAGCCTGTGTGTCTTCCCTGACACCCAGGCGGGTTCGGCGGAATGACGATCCCTCCCTGGACCCGGTCGGCAGCCAGCCGATTAATTGCTATGTTGTTTAGGGCGGCTGGGCCTATTTTAACCGCTT